CATATTTTCCCAGACAAAATGGCGATTTAGGGTGGTCGTGTTAAAACGGCATTTTCTCAAAGTTAAAAAAGCATTTGACCTAAAAAAATATATGGTGCATTTTCCGATATAATAAGGTATATCCGGGCAAAATTTGAGCAAAATCGCTTTTTCAGTCGTGGCCGCCTTATGTTTGATTTTTGTGGACATCCTCTCTTAAATCTCGGGGAAAACCCCGGGCCCTGGCCGAAAGAAATGTGTACTCGCTGTGATGTCGAATGTCAATATTTCGTTAGTTCCGCTCAAGATAGTTTTCTAGCAACTGAATTGTCTCTAGGTTTAGAAACAACAAGACGCTCTATGGAGCGTTAACTCGCTGGAGCTATACAAATGAAAACTACATTTTGTCACCATATTTGTTCATAATTTGGTAACAGCTACAGAAAAACAGAACAATTTACAGAAACGAAGACGCCAGCTCAGACCTCGGTTGGCCAAATGACCTCTCAAGTGAGTTGTGTTTCAACCTCGGTCCCAGGGTCTTTCTTAGAACGGCGCGAGGCGGTTGGTTTTATTTATTTGTTTTTGTAATATGAATTGTGCATAATTCAGACTAATTGTATAAGGGAATTTGTATATTTTGCCTGAGAACGACGAAGAAACATTGTTCTTCTGTTCAGACAACACTCATGCTGTGCTTTTCTCCTTCACACGGAAAACATGCAAATTCCGCTTATATACAGTAGAATAGTTTTTGGTGAACTATACTTAAAATCAAACTTATCATGTTTAGCAACAGTATTTGACACAGGTTATATTTTTGAGATATTGTGCTCCGATGGCAATGCACCCTACTTTATTATTTTAATGTCTCGTGGATGGCACTGTTCGGCGGATCGCTAGACCCAAATACCTTCAACGAGTGCTGTATAATGGTCACAAAAGGGTTCATGCCATCAAGTTTCAGAGTGTGGTAATACCAAATGGCCTCATTGAAAATCTTGCTGCTCCATATGAAGGAAGACGACACGACAGTACCATGCTATACGAATCTGGCTTGCTACCAAACCTAAGGCGTGTTGCCCATTATAATGGCCAACCTCTTTGTTTGTATGGTGACCCAGCTTACCCATTAAATGTTCATCATCAGGCACCTTTTCCAAGCAGAGGCATTATCCCAGAAATGCAAGCCTACAACAAAGCCATGAGTGTTGTCAGAGTGTCAGTGGAGTGGATGTTTGGAAATATAACCAAATACTTCAGTTTTATAGATTTTAAGAGGCAGATGAAAGTACACCTGAGTGCAATAGGTAAGATGTATGTTGTTTCTGCACTACTTGAGAATGCTCGCACTTGCCTTTATGGTAATATTGTCTCACAAACATGTGACCTTCAACCCCCTACACTGGACCAGTATTTTTGGTAAATTGCTTAAATTACATGAACTAAGGGACGGTTCATTATTTATACCCGGGGTTTGTACTGAAGAGATATGTGTTGGATAATCACGTTTTTGACTAGCTCATGGGTTGGGTAAAAAAAATTATGGCTGTTTGTCAGCTATAAAATAAAATAAAACCAAAATTTTTAATACGATGCATTGCAAAATATGAAGAAAAATGTGTACAAAACATACATTCTGTACCAAAATAGACCATCAGTGATTGAGGAAGGACTCTATCATTGATCAGAAGAAACGTTGTGTGGATGACTGAAAAGAGAAAATTCAACCCACTTTTTCCAACATTTTTTCATGGGGGCAGGGGGGAGGCCGACGTACTTTAAAATGGCCAAAAATGTGAAAAGTCTCATTATTTTTGCACGCGATTGTAGGCGTCCGTATAAATTTTGTGAACGTCTAATATTCGAATTGAGAGACATGAACTACAATGTATCTTGAACTATTTCCCCCCAGCCAACGGCGCGAAGCGCCGTGCGAGAGTACCAATTCCCCCCGGCTATTTACACCCGGGGAAACGAAAGCATTAGCGAAGTCTAAAATTCACCATTGATCGCAGGCGTGGCTCACTGTGCGTGGGTGGTCATCCTCACCGATCTCGAAAATATGGCGGACTGTCATAAATAGCGAACACTGTGATTGGTCCAATTTAAAGTTCGCATTATAACGACTGCATGACGACAGCAAAATAGCAAACATTTGACAAATTTCTTGATTTGATGATTGATAATTTTCTTGCAAATATATTTCATTTAATTTTGCTCGCATTTTTGCAAGATTTTGTAAATTTCAAGAAAGAAAGGGCGAAAGAATCGGCTATAAGAAGGGAGTCGACGTTAACGAAGGCAAGTTTGTTTTAAATATTGATTTTATAATTGCTTTAAAACCCGACGGCCTTCGCGTATATGAAACAACTAAACAAGACAGCATATAATTTCAGTGTATCTTTAACATTGATTCCCTTTTTTATTATATTGAATTTAAATAAATAAAAAAGAAAGCAAAGCTATTTGCATGCGAAAATTTGAAATAATTTTATTGCAAAGTCAAAGTTTATCGATAAAGCCATTTAACACGTTTTGCGAAGCGTTTGTGGATGAATTTTACCTTAATTTGAAGCTTATATTACGTATAATATCATGTCTAGCATATATATGTTGGGAAATTGATCATTTTGTAATTAAAAGTGATATGTTTAGGCGATTTTTTATTTGTATGTAAGAATATTCTTAAAAAAATTATCGTGTTACCATGACAACTACTTTAGATACTTCATATTCGGGAAATACAATGGTTTTGTCAGCAAGGCGAGGGTTTCTGCATGCATGTATTTTCTGGTTGGTATTGGGAACAAGAAGATCCATTAGAGTTGTTTGCGGTAGCGTTATTTTGGAGACCTACCGGTGAACGATTCAAGAGTCAGATCGTATAAAAGCTTATCAAGAAAACTTGAAGGAAAAACTTTTAGAACAGTTGTGATATATTTTGGCATAAAAAATAGTCCATGTGTTGTGACCCGATATCGTTTACTTTCATTTTCATTAAGCATGTCTTAGATCTGAAATATTTTTACGAGAACTGACACTTTCCAACACGCTGAGTTCAAATCCGAAAGGTTCCCACTCCGTCATAGACCCGCAGTTTTCTCACAAATTGCTATTTCATCTTCTGAATAATTATTTCACGACAAATTTTTCATTGTTCAACGACACGGATCGATGACGATACACGATTTTGTCACTCAAAAGGACCAATTTCTATTAACCAGTCTTCCTTTTAACAAAAGACCGGTTTTGCTCGAATCATTTTGAGTTATGCAATCTTATGCGTGTTGGACGTAAACAACATAAACACGTTCTAAAGCTAAGTGAAATATTCTATTTAGAGAAAATCCTGCGAAATTGTACCTTTATTTCAAATATTGTCCACAAATTTTTAAAAATGGATTTTATAATGCTAATCGGATATATTTAACCAGTTTTTTTCCAGAAAAAATTATGTGTTACTAAATTCTACAAAAAACGTTTGTTTTATATGCGTTGATCTTGTGCAGAATTTGTGCCAAGTTGGCGCTGCGACTGCAGTGTCAAACTGAAAGCTTACATGCAGAATTTCTAACAAGTAGGTGCTGCATTTGCAGAGCCAAACTCAAAGATTGGCTGCAGAATATCTAACAAGTTGGCGCTGCATTTGCAGAGCCAAACTCAAAGGTTGGCTGCAGAATATCTAACAAGTTGGTGCTGCATTTGCAGAGCCAAACTCAAAGGTTGGCTGCAGAATATCTAACAAGTTGGCGCTGCATTTGCAGAGCCAAACTCAAAGGTTGACTGCAGAATATCTAACAAGTTGGCGCTGCATTTGCAGAGCCAAACTCAAAGGTTGACTGCAGAATATCTAACAAGTTGGCGCTGCATTTGCAGAGCCAAACTCAAAGGTTGGCTGCAGAATATCTAACAAGTTGGCGCTGCATTTGCAGAGCCAAACTCAAAGGTTGGCTGCAGAATATCTAACAAGTTGGCACTGCATTTGCAGAGCCAAACTCAAAGGTTGACTGCAGAATAAAAATTGCAGAGCCAAACTCAAAGGTTAGCATGGTATACTATACTAATCTAACAAGTTGTGAGAAAAGATGTGTACGGGGGTGGAGGTGGGTGAAAGGGGGTGGGGGGCTGAATCTAGTAATAGTATACCATACTGAATATTAGTAAACGCGACAGTGCCTTACATGCAACTATTATGTACTGGCACAACTACAGGATTAATTCATTGTTTATTTCTTTCTCGAGACATGAAATCCCTCATTTGCCGTTTTGTTTCGGGATGAAGTTTCGAGTCCTGCAACTCAAATGCTGTTAAATATATACAGTCTTTCGAAAGTTCGTCAGTCCATAGTTGGCCCCTTTCTTTCCATGGCTGCCATTTTTTATTCCACGAGCCTTTCCAGTATTCTATTAATATCTTATCCTGAGATTTTTCGATGACTTTGCCTATAACTGGTGTCTTGTCATACCCAAGAAGTGATATAGCCACAAATCCCCCGACAACAACATGCTCCCAAATGTCATCTACATGTGTTACTCTTGAAGGCCTGACATAAAGTCCTGTATACACCTAAACAAAGTAACAAAACAACAGGGATTTACTATATTATGAAACCAACTAATTGTTTCTTGACCAAAAATATTCAAAAAACATTAACGAAACGGTTAGCACTATTTTCCATCGAGCAAACCGCCCTATCGATTTTCTAAAGTCTTTCTTTTTGGATTGTTGTTATTAATTCGGTTAGGGTTACAGTTAGGGTTGCGGTTAGGGGTTAGAGTAAGGTAGGGTTTGGGTTAGTTACATTGCCATTTGACACCTCTTCCATCTTTCGAAAATGACGTCAGGTCAGTTTGCTGGATGGAAAATAGTGCTAACCTAACGAAACTCTCTCTTTAATATTACGTATTTACTTTATTTATAATAGAGTTGCATTATTTATGCGAGATAAGACTCAAACTGGAGGCTAGGAACTTCCGCCAAAGGCCTGTGCCAAAGGCTTGGAAACGAGTTTAGTAAACAAACATGGCGTAATATAAAATGTGCACATTTTGATTTGTATTTTTGTACAAAGACCTGAACTTCTTGCGACTTCGTCTTGAAACGGACTCAGTTTTGAACATTGTCAGCATTAGGACACGAAGACGGCGAAAGGTAAGAGAAACAAATCATTTTTAATATATTTTAGAAGTTTGAACCCAAGTTTTGATAAGAGGAAAACGAAAATATAGCAAAATATAAATGCATTATTCCAATCCGTACGAAAGAAATTTTGATCACATTTAATTCAAAGGCATCAAAGATTCAAAAGGCACGTTTTGTAGATTTAAATGAGTTGAAAAAGTTTAAAGACCATGTAAAGTCCGTAATGTAAACAAATGCTTTAACGTTTACTGTACATTTGAACTCTGAGTGCCACAGTTGTAAAATATGATTAGATATATATTATAATGAATTTTTAACACTCTTTTGGTTCGCTATGCTTGTAAATGAATACAGACTAGAGATTCAATTCGAGAAAGTTATAAAGATACGAAATATTAATAACATCCCAACGGTCGGAATGTAAGCCTGCGCAAACGTATGCGCAGAACAGACTTTATATGGTCTTCAATAAGAAATTATTCTACCTCTGGGATTTCGGCAAACTGCTTATTTACCATGTCTGTAATTTCGTCCGGTACTTTGTCAGGAACAGACAGTCCTCCTTCTGTGTCTTGTAATGGCACTGCAGGATTGTTAGGGTTGTCATTTGTATAACTTCTGCTCTTCACAAGTTTCAACTCATCAAGCAGCCATGTACTGGATTGGTTTAATATTTCTGCTTGATAGATTTCTTTTGATCTTTCGAAGAACTGGCTCCACCACAATCTTTGATCCGCAGTAATAATCCTAGAGTTGTCCAGAAACTTGGGTATATCCCGTTTCAGTCTTTCCATGTCAACATTATCAGGCGATGATGGGACTAAATTTGGCACTGATTTAGGGACACTTACTTCCTAAGATATAAAATAATGTATATTAAATTATTCCTTTGCATACCCCCAAATTAATTATACGTTTTCACACAACCTCAGTACCCGGTATGTGGAGAACGGTGCTATATATATAACTCATTAATTGGCAATGAGTGGGAATGCACCTACTTTAGTATTTTACTCTGTCGAACACCAGACAATGTTAATGCCCATCAGTGAAAGAGACAAAGGGTACTCTGCCAGCTAATGGGTTAAAAAACAACTGTTCTAAATAAATACAAAAGTCGATGCCTGCTTTTGGTTTCTTTGGTTTAGGTTGAATGAATTGAAATATGATGCCCTAACTTCTAAATCCCACCCCTTCAGGTAGAAATTTACCTATGCTTATAATAGACTTAAAGCTATATACAAAAATCCTACTTGGCTACTTACTTTTTTTAGAAGTAACATTGCTTTATTTGGATTTTTTGCAGGTTTCCATTTTTCACATCGACTCCAATTCTTATAGCGCAATACAACATCACCTGCTTCATTCTTCTCAATGACGAATATGTGAGAATTTGTGATGTTGTGCAATTGGGGATTTATTTCCTTCAACCAGCCTTTGACATCATACATGGTGTTAAGGAGGATTGGTACTGGAGCAGGTGTGTATGACTCTTCTCAGGTGCGTTAATGACATAGATATAGGAGATATAGGGCAAAAAGACTAAATTCTATTACGAAAATCAGGATTTTTGCGTTTTTTGCCGTCGCATTGTTTCGAAACTATTCGGTCAAATTTTATGGTAAAGAGAAACTTACTGCGAAGATTTTGAGCATATAGCCTTGTGAATGGCGTTTTATACTTGCATCTCTCATCATCATCTGCTCTGTCCTCATAATTATGAAAAATGAACTGTTATGTACCCCCCCCCCC